AAACATATAATTTTTTTTTTTAATTTAACTGTGCCAACTCAATTTTATTTAGGGAAACTGTGGTTAAGAGACTCATAATGAGGAAACAAGAGAAATGGCCTTCCCTGATTGATTGCTGACTTCTGTTATTGAAGACAGCATAACTGTCAACTTGGTGCTACTTTTAGAACTAGGGGTACCTGGGTGGCTCAGTCGGTTGAGCTTCTGATTCTTGGTTTAGGCTCAGGTCATGATCTCACAGTTCGTGAGATAGCGCCCTACCTCTGGCTCTGCATTGACAGCTCGGAGCCTGCTTGAGATTTTCTCTCTCCCTCCCTCCCTCTCTCTCTCTCTGTCTCTGCCTCTTCCCGGCTCACACGCATGCTCTCTTTCAAAATAAATTAATTAAAAAAAAAACAAAACTAAATGAGGCCCTTTTCTTTCTGCAACACATTGGTGTACTTAGTACTCTTCTTCAGAGTAGTAAGTAAACATTTCTTGCCCATCAGCCTTTCTTCTGAAGACCTTTGTAGCTGTACAGTACAAAAAGTGAATGCCTGGGTATCTTAATAGACTGAAGGGAAAATGAAATAAAGATTCCTCCCCCTTAGATGGCTCAGTGTAACACCATTCCTGGCAAAAATTCTTCTTTCTCTTCTCTCATAAATCAAGACTGCTCTTAGATTAAGTGTATCAAGCTACTAAAGGAGACTTCTCATGCCTCATTTGGGATAAAGGCATCCTGGCCTCTTATCTTCCCACCAACCCAGGTTTTTAAACACAGAAGAACAAGAAATAACTCACTACCAATTTAAATGCATCATTTCAGAGAATCTTAAAACTGTTAAGAAACTTTACAATTCAACTAGGACAGCTCCCTCCCTTCATCACAAATATGTTGTGAGGCTTAAATAAAATGTGTGACTCACCAGGGCCCACCTCAGAGTAGGCACAAAGTGTTAGCTTCCTACCCTTGAAAGTTCTCTGGGACTTTATTTTACGCAATCAGACATGGGAATTTCTGCACTCAGCTCCAGAAATATTATTCAAAAGCTTTGGGAGTGAAACTTTTT